TGCATGTACATTTCTCAAAACTTAAAAAATTTTGTTTTCTTACTCATATTAAATTTTCAGTCAGATCACTTATTAAATATAAAATTAAATGAAAATTTGAAACAAAATTTTACAGGTTTTCACATCCTGGAAATTTTACAAGCAGTAATTGACATCACCTTTATTTAGCTTTTCAAAATTTATCTTCATCTCTTCATTACAGATCCTTTTCAAGATATCGAGTTGTTTGAAATTCATTTTATTTAGTTATATTTTATAAATATTGTAAACATATATTTTGAAAAACCTCAATTAACAAAAAGGAAAATTAACTATAACTCAAATGAAGAAAATTATTCACACGTTATAAAAAGAAAATCAAAAGTCTAAATTGTTACATATTAAAGTAGTATTGTTTGATAATTAATCAAATGTTATGTAACTAAATGCTTGATTCTTGAGGTAACTTTTTGAGTTAACATTGCAAATCAATTCAACGCTTTACTCTTATATGAAACCATGTGTGAACAGTTTTGTTTGTCAATATCAACTTATGACTTAATTTATTTTGTTTATGAATATCATAATTTTGTAATAACATCAAAAAAATCTAATTACATTCATAATTAATTAAAATTTTTGTATAAATTACTTCTTTGGATATATATATATACACACAATTAAATTTTAATTTTTCTTGAATTAAATATTTTTTTGATTAATAAAATCTTCGCCTATGTATTTTGTGTTATATTTCCAATTACGTTTGGAATGATATATAGCTCAACGTTATCATTTTTATTGATTAAAAAAAATTTATGATCTTTAAATTCCTTATACCTGCAATTGAATTTGATACTTATATTTATCTTTTCGTTTCTATTACAATCTTGCTCATCCTAACTTATTATTATAGAAAATTAAGTACTTCCATAGAATGCATGGCTTAACATTTCTTCCATATCTCAATTTACATGCCAGTGAATGAGACTTTTCCTTCTCTTACTGAACACGGTTTCCTTCACTCCACATCTGAAGTTTTTGGTTATTTCCTGCTTTTTCTCTTCGTAAAGCTTGTGTCAAATGTTTATAATCAGTTTTTGCAGCAAATTTCCGTCAGTGTTCGATTTAAGATTTTAAGCTGGACATAAGGTACTCATCCATCTGTCCACATCAAGGATGCTAAGTATCCTGTACTCTTTTATTGTTTTGTTTTATGTTTGACTCCGGTTATTTGGCCCTCTTGGATTAGTATCGGTCTAAAGTTAAGTAATATTAGGAAGAACATACGGTATACTTGTTCGCTGTTCCTGAACAGCTAGGTTTTTGTCCCTCCCTTGATTTAGTAATCAGCTTTCAAGTCTCTACTGTTTAAACGACTTTGAAGTTATTTTCAGAAAATAAATATTTTTTGATATATTATATATGTGTACAACTCAGTAGATATTCTACCTCTTTTTTCAAACATCCACCTTTCAAGTTTTTCTAAGTTTAGGTTAAAGAATATCTTTCCAGTAACATAGTTATAAAAGCCATATTCTTATACGTTTATTTCATTTTTATTGGTTCAAAAAGTCCACAAGGTATTTTCAAAATAGTAATAACATAATGAAATGTAATTTTTAGGGTTTGACTTATGCAGTGTTAGGATTGATCTTTGTATGTGTTCTTTTTGCTCAAGTCTGGGATTTCTTCTTATGAAAAATTCATCACTTTCTTCTTATAGGAAACAAGATTTAATAGAGAGAAAAAAACTTATTAGGAAATTCTCATGATACTAGATAATCATTTCCATGACTTTTGAGTCTCTTAAATGTTTTGTTTAAAAAAGATTATGTGCAAGGTATGGTGTGCATATAAATACTAATTCGTATTTGCAACATTAGCACATCAATATCATAATGCCTCAATTTTAATTACCATTTATTTTCAAAATATACATAATATTTATGTATACTAATTAAAAAGTTTTGTACAATGGCAGTTCACACATCACTTTGACATACTAAAAATTTACAGATGAGCTGTATTCATTTTAAGCACCAACAAATTCAAGTTTTCTTCCTTTGTTAAGGTTAAACAGTAGTCACGATACCGAAGGCTTGATTGAAAAGAAAATCTTATCAAAGCCCTACTTTTATTACTTCTTGAAACCTTAGGTCCCCTAACAACGTTACAGCCTGTAAGGAATCTGCATTGTGAAAGTGGCCTACGACAATATTAGAACTAACTACTGTATGATGTACATGCACACAATTACCTCCATGCCTCTACGTGACCCATGCTCTGTTTACTACATCTCTTCCTTAGTATTGCTTGTTCAGGTCTTGCTAGTACTATCTGCTCCTTATTAGATTATGAAATCTTCACATTGCTTATCTGGAAATTTCTGTAACCTCCCCTAACTTTCTTTGCTTTCTGGTCTAGTTTGCTTCTCTCTAGCTTGCAACTCCTTCCTTGAAAATAATCATTGCAGCTCCGATACTATGAATATATCTCGGTCTTCCCTTCCTCATCCCAACTTCGATTGTATCGAATCTTCAACTATGTGTGATGAGATTCTTGTTGGTGGATATCCCGACCCCATCCCTCTTGTTCCACTTATGAGGTTTCTATCGTCATTATTCCTGAAAATCGTGCTTGCGAGCCTATTTGGGTTTCACTTTTTGCTGTGGTTATAGTTTCATCATCTGTATCCATGCCAATGAGCGCGAGCACTTTATCGTTTACCAGTGCTGCCTATGTCCCGTCATTAGAATCTATCATTCCCGTTTGGTGATATTTGAGCGTTTTCATCTTCGTGCTGACAGTATACTGCTCGTTATGCTGACAGTAAACTTGCGTCCGTCAATGCTAGAAAAATGACAACTAACCGTGATTTTTTCTCTCTAATGATTCAACATCTCTGTCGTCGTCGATGTCAACTGAAGCTTCTGACCACGGCTGTGAATCCCTCTGCATCTACCTTGGATCTACCGTCGTTCTCTCTCAGCCTCTCCCGTGCCAGCTTGCTGTATTCTTAACCTCTCCTGCGCATCATCGATATTTCATAGCAGCTTTAGGCACTCTTTGAAAAACAATGTCTAATATTGCTATAAAAATGAACTCGGGATGTGATCACAGTGAGATGACGCGCATCTACATACTCTTACGTTATACGTTGCTTCACATCCCCATCATAGTTCATCATCCATGATTATTTGCCTTCATATCCAATATAATTTATTGGATACAAACCTATTTCACCTCCTATCTCTCACAGTAGTTCTTTCAGCTTCTAATTGAGATATACTATCTTGTAATTTCATCTGGACTGAAATTTTCGTATTGCTCAATATTGCGTGAACACACGAGGTTGACCCATAAATGTGCAATCACTAAGTGTTAGATAAATGAAAAGCGACTTGGTATCAAGAGCCAAATATCGCATTTCGTGTGGGTCGAAGGGTATCATGTAACAGCGTGTACTCATAACCTCCATAACTATGTCTAGTTTCGACAAAGTCCACACCTCTTATGCCCATTCCATCACCCTACCCCTACTGGACGTGACACGCAATCTGAGCTTGTAAAGCATCAGCTTAGTTGGTAAATTGACCTGTACATCATTCCATACGCCCAAACCTAGAGGTACTAGGTTCCACTTCCTACAGCTCGAATGGTCTTCTTGAGCTCTATGTACTCCGCGATATGAAATGAGTCCTCATGATACATTTCTTGATATGGATTCAAAATTTCAGCACTCGTTACGCCATCTTTTCCTCATTTTTTCTCACGCATTGCTCCGAATTGATGGCACTTCATCATGCTTCATCTTCTGCTATATCCTCTTCTCTTGATTCAAGTTTTGGATTGCCTCTCCATCGGTTCAGGTCTATTTGCTGGAGCCTCCTACTGCAATGACGGCTGTGTGGAAACCGGTGGCCATGACACCTACCCTGTGTGCCCGCAAGTTTGCCAAATAGTTTTCCCTAGCAGGACTATAAAATCAAAGTCACTTATTAAGCCATATCCGACTCTGTGAATCCTTCTCAGTTCCTGGCTGATGGCTTTTGGACACCTGCACATCTTTGAAAAGTGCATGCGTTGTGCCGCTTGGTTTTCAGTCATCATCCGAGACAGTAGAGATCCAGCGTCGAGGACGACTTGACGTTCCATCTCCGCTTGTTATTGCCAGAGGTTATATATTTTATTTTATTTTATCAATTTTTCCCTCCTGAATCTGCTTCGCCGCCATCATTGATTCCCACATCTTAGTCGGTTTTAAGTGCTTCGGCTGTCAGGTCTACCATACACTAAGTATTGAACTCCTATCAGATCAATCTGCATCTATCAGCTTGACATTCTGCCTCGCGTGCCAAAGGTTTCTCCTCGCCAGGCCTTTCATTGCTGATTAGGACTGAGCTCAACACTCATGTCAAAATTATCATATGATCTATCTATTTGCAGCATAGATTTGAAAGTTGTGTTCCACCATAGCCACACACACGGAGGAAAACACTGGAGTCCCTTCCGCACACTAATCTCAAAACACGGCAGGCAGCTGGACGATGATCACCCGTCCCAGCTCGTCTCGCGCCCTCCACTCGAAAGGGCTGGCGATGTAGCGAAATTAGTTTCGCTATAGATAGATGCAGTAGCTCATTAACTTGACGCGGTGCACATACCCACCGCGACTACGTACGTCCTCCACTTCCCGTAGCTGGTGGGAATCCCACCCTAAAACAAGTACAGTCCACAAGCACGTGTCCCCACTCCACAAGCGGTCGGACTAACCGCGGTTAGCCGCGAATGAAACCAGCTCAACACCCTAGACCCGGACAGACTGTTCACGTGGCGGCTGTCCAGACAGGAGGAGATCAGCGCACAGGACCGGCTAACGAACTTCATTCTTCCTCGGAGCCGGTTCTTGTAAGGAATCTCCTGAAGAGAGCAGATCCTAGCGAACTACAGTTGCCGGTAGCGTGGAGCGGAAAGACCGTGAACACGAGCATAAGATATCTCGTCGAGACTTAGCCAATCATTAGAGTATGGCTCAACACGCCCCGATCGGAGCGGGCGAGGGAGAAGAAGCACCCTCGGATTGCCATCCCGAGCGCCTTCCGTCTCCACGACGTACTCGGGAAATTGATGTTCACGTCTGTATGGGGTTGGGGGGAAGGGACTGGATCGAGAGGGCGGCGGGCGGCGAACGTGTGGCGGGTGCCTGTGATTGGGAAGTATGATTCGGAGGGAGAAGTCGAGGCAGGATTGCGAGAGTAGTGGCGTGATGGTTGACGAGGTATCATTAAGGACGGCCACCTCGGATTACTGGAAGAGTGCATCAACCCGGACTCACTTTTGCGAGCGAGATTTGGGTGCGGAGATTAATCACAATCATCAAGATCCCGCGTTCATATTCAAGAGATTTACAAGCTCCGTGTACACGGCCAACTGAATAGGCGTCTCCAAAGTTTTCATCGTCGGCGCTCTTAAATTTGACGCTGCTTTTGGCCATAGTCCGCATCCATGCCATAGTCCATCCATGCAGCGCGATCGACGGACTGTGGGCGAAGTTCGGTGACAGATTCTTGCGAGGACGAGTGGGGGCGGTCGATATTGCACGCGTTGCCTCATTCCGGGGAGCACTCTTCCTCTCCTTCACTTACTCACGACGGACACGATGCATCAATTTCCATCATAAATGTGGATCATTGCCGTGGGCTTGCTCTAGCACGAGCCTGTGCTAAAGTTGACCCCAACGTAAACTTGTCGAGATTCACGTATCATTGGAACTCATGAATCTGCGGGCACATATAGGTTGGAATAAATCATAACTGTCTCTTGCCCGGGACATCCGAAGCGTATTCTCGAAATTTATTATATGGATCTCGGAACTCAGATAGATTTCAACGGTGATTCATCCATGAGTGCAGATTGATTGCTTGACCACATAAATGTTCGAATGTGTCAAGTTATTGTTTGGCAATCAAATGTTCGTTCTTTCAATGAATATGACACTTCTTTTGTCGTCGTCAGATACACCCAACTTCCCTGCAGTGTTGGAGGTTTTAATTTGAATGTCACTCGTTTTCCAAAGCCGCCTTATATTCGCAACTCATAAACCTTTTCTTTTTGGTAGTTAAAGCACACTCGCTTCACGAAAGTCATTCCTTTTACTTTCCGAAATCAAGGTCACACCGAATGCTACAACCGGTTCAGGCTCAGTTTAGGTTCAAGCTCATTCGTTAAACCTTATTCCGGGGCCTTAGGTGCGGTTCCATTCGCTTGCATAAGCGGTCACTCTATATGTTACCTTCATGAAGACAATTCGTTGCTCTTCTCTGGTATCGTCCGGATTGTACTGGAGGATGGCAGCAATTTGATTCACGTCTCAATTGAACCATCGATTGCAACTTTATTTCCTTTTGCTTCTTCACTAATATTCGGCTAATCTTAATCAGAAGTCTGTTGGGTGTTGTTCAATTTGAGCAACAAGCGCTGAAGTTCGAAATCTGTGTGCTCTATGCGGTGTGTTCAATAGCTTGATTGATGGATGAAGCGACATGTTTAATTAAGAGGAGTGAATGCACCGATATTACAAGCGTACCCATAAATACAACATTTGGTGCATGGGCAGAACAGGGAAGCAAGGTTGATATGTTACAGTACTAGGCATTAAACAACAGCTTGGATATAGCGTAAGAAAGTGTGGATCAGCAAATGATGAGAAACCACTGAGTGGTACAACCTGTGGAATAAAATCAGCGTGTAAACATATGAAGGCTTCTTTAAAGTGTACAATTAAGTTACAAGCAACACGGGGCAACTCTCGTTCTCCAGCGTCATCCAGTAGATCGCACAGCAAGCAACAAAAGTTGCGTTCCTACTACTCGTCAGTTCATAAGGTCAAGTCTAACTTCAATGCTTTTGAGATCTGCGGATTTTTAGCAACCATGCATATGTTGTTTTTAATAGAAAGAAACCGAACCAGCAACTGTACAGCGAGACCTAAAGAAGTTAAGGTCCGGGATGCTGAAAACTGTGACTTACTGTACAATTATCTTAACGCCTTAAAGCAAAGGTGGAGTGCCTGTCATTCACTATCTATTTCCTCCCGAGTGATCATATGTGATAAAAGGCCTACTGGGAAACAAAAAAACCCCCTTGTTTAATACAAAAGAACCATTGAAATTCATTGTTATCCCTTTGGAAGACATGTCTCCTACTGTATCATGGTTGATAGTTCTCATCAAGGTCGTCTTTTTACGACCATAATGATTCCTTGGATACAATGTCTTCATGAGGTGAGATGCAACACTTCATAACTTGCAGTCTGTACAGACGAGCAAAACGTGTATTATGTATTTGTCCACAACATAACCTATATCAGGCCGATCGATATCTGCGGCTTGACTTCAAGTGGTTGAGTTAAACCAAGCAGTTGAGCCGATTGCTAGCTAGCAGGAATGATTCTCAGGTCCAAGTAATGTTTGTCCAACTACTGTATTCGCATATGAAGGTTATGGTGGCATGACTCATTGAACAGCCCTCTCTGGTAACTATAAAGTGGACTTGGAACTATGAAAACAATCATTTTGCTCGAGATCCACCAGGGAGAGCTCCACATGTATATAATTGAAACATCAATTGAAAAGTCATACACAAGGTTAGGACAATGTCCCCCACATGAGTGGCGAAAAGAATGTTTCGAAACGGCTTTGAATGGTGATAGCCAAGTAAAGAGATCATTTTAATTGAGGAAAAAAAGTTCAAGTGTATTGTGTACTTCTGCCCCTTACAGCAATAAACCAGAGAATAAATCATTGTGCTCAGTATTTGCAATTGATGATCTTGGTTCTACTCATGCTCAATCACCACGAGACTGAGACACACGCAAAGTTACGGGAGTTGTTCAGGTTACTTTGAAGTTGATGAGTATGATTCTCTCCTTTATATTGGTTCCAGATCTTATGTGATACCATATAACCTCTTTTCTTCGGAACCAACTGACGATGAACAATTTTATAGTACTCTAACCGCTCAGAGCAAGGTCCCATATACATTTATATGGACCTTGTCTTCATAGTGCAATATGTTGAATTCTTGTCGCAATAATCGAACAACTGTAGTGATAATTGGGATAATATCGAAATGCCTCTTAAACGATTTGGTGATTACCTTCAGGGTTCCAAAGTGTTTATCGTGACAGTTGCTGTCACGATTAACATACGATCATAGAAATCAATTCAGCGATTCCCTTTGCTGGCAAACCTTGGCACAAAATGCAGGTCATCTAAAGAATGTTTGCAAAGACCACAGTAATTGTCACCTTTCTGTATTTGTATTATTTTTTGATTTTATTTTTTATCCTCTACAAAGTTCAGCTATGTGTTTGAATCTGTGAATGTCAAGATCTCTTTAGGATTTTGGTCAATCTTCCAAACTCTTCTTTACTTCACCTCAAGCTCAGGTTAGTGAAGAGCCTTCTGTTGGTCTCACTTTGAGGTTTCCTATCTTCCAAACTGACTTCTTGGAATTGATTCATCCCAGTATTGTTCTTGACCATGAGCTAGTTTCTCACTTGACACCGAACCCAGTGCAAACTGGTAAACATGCCATTAATATGAGAATAAACCGGGAACTTCCAAAAACCATGCAAACAAGGATGAACATGTGGCGCTTTATGTGGTCCACGAGATAGCTTGGAATTAGACGACGCAACTCTATCTGCTCAATATGAGTTATAATGATGAAAATACCTTTTCTACACTTAGCGTTGAATCATCTTAAAAAAGTGAAAAATAAATTTGCTTCTAATAAGACACTATAGCCTTGACGGCATTAAAAAATCTTATTTGGTAAATGCAAAGAACAGAAATCGTAGTTTTTTTCTTACTTCTCTAGATCAAAAAAATACTTATTTGGATAATTCGTGAATTGTGATTGTTAATGCCATTTTCCTGGCTAGATCCTTTTCCTTCTGGAAAAAATAATTTCTGAGCTCATTGCAAGACCAGTGAAGAGGGATAGGGAGTGGTCTGCGGGCTGTAGTTTATACGAGGAGGGGTTTGTATGAGGTTTTAAGAGGCTAAGTAAAGAAAAATCTTTGATGCTTTGAAATGCTTATACTACTTACTAATCAGCCTCACTAAAACTTAACACAATCTTTGTAGGGTTTGTACATCTTCTTAAGACATTTCTGAAAATAAAAAGTTATAAAGTAGGAAACCATCAAAGTGTGAATCACCGGATTCATTCGTATTCACCAAGATAGTTACTTAACCAACTTGAATATACTCTTTCATAGAATTTTGTGAGCCTATCTTTTCAATGTAGAACCTATTGCCTTCATCTTCTCAAATCTATCACCAATAATTCCCTTCTTAGTTAGCAGATGTTAGAGCTTTATCATAGTAGTTTACATCCAACATATATCATTCCTCTTGGAGACTGCAAATTATAGAAGAGAACGAGTAGCCATTTGATCATATTGAGTTGAGATCAATAAATATATACAAATTCCGAATCTTACATCCCTATGAATTAGAATAGTTTCTGATATAATGTCAATGATAAGCTCAACTCACAAAAAATACGACACTTTTGAAAATTTCCAAGTTGATATCATCAAGTTTCATCTAATCTTCTTTATAACTCATGTTCATAATGTATCTAGGATAGCCAAGTGAACAAAACCTGAAGAATTTGATTTGATCTATCTTTAATTAATATGTGTTGTGAAGTGTTTTCCATTTATCCATTTTTGTAACAAAATATTTATTTCCAAAATATTTCATTTATTCTATGATTTTTTTTTCATATCAAGCTTCAAAATATCTTTCAATGATCAAATTTAAAAGTCAAAACTATTTTCTTCATGAAGATGTATGATCTTAATCAAGACAAAATAAAACAATCACTAAAATGAGATGTGCTGCATTTTTATTTCTTCCAATTTTTCTTGACTAGTATCAATTTAAATATATGGCTAAACACAAATTTATGCTTTTGGGGCCAAATTGTCTTCAATACATTATGAAATGAAGAATATAAGATTTCACGATACATGAATGATGCAACATTGTAACCATCTTTGGTAGTTAGAACTAAAGTAGATGATACTCAAGATGAATTTATAGTTTTTGTTACCATGCACTAGTTATAACTGCCACGTCAGATATCCGCATGCTTGATGGATAGAGAGTAAATATGTTAGTTGATAACGACACGTAAACGATCCATGTCAATGGTAGGTAAGGATTAAATGTGTTAGTTGAGAGCGCCACATTATACATCCACTAGTAGCAGAATGAATGATGGAAATAAGATCTTATTTCCTTGTATTTATTTAGAAAAGGTATATAATGAAGAGTGAAACCATTGTTGGTACCTCTCATCTTTAAAATTTATATTTTCATCTTTTGGTTACTTTCTCTCTGCATTCTATTACAAAAATTATCCACAATGCATGACCATTGTCTTCTAAAGAATTTTTACACATGATTGTGCGTATTAAAATAAAGATTGAGATTGAATATCTTGCAAGATATCAAATTACAAATTGTATGACCCTTGATAAAAAAATATATGGAATTATTAAGCTGAATATATATTGTAGATCTTTATACTTTACTTTGATATATAAAAAATTATTTTGATAATTGTATCTGAAATCTCGCGGTCTTGCTTAAAATAACAATGGATTTCAAGATTTTTTTACCAAAAAACAACATCGTCCTATAAAAATTTGAAAATAATTCAAGTTTTCATCTTTTCTTAGAATTGTATGGCAACCCTATGGCGGTTGAGTTGTGACAATTATTCCTAAAAAAATTCAATCAGTTTAGCAAGTTCAATAGATATTAACTCATTTTGAATTATAACATACATACAAAGCTAATATTAATGAACAATCATGCACAATGAGATGTAACAATTTGTGTTAGATGTATGCAATACGTGTTTTATTATCATCTAAGGTTTCAACTAATAAAA